AGATGCTGCAGGCGCTGCTAACACGTCTCGCTCTGGGGAAGCATGAGGGAATGAAATGGTTCTGATGGCCACCCTGTCACTCACACCTCTGCTGACAGCAACCTGCACTGCAACTGCTGTTACTATTCTGGGCAGGACTGAAAGTACAGTATGTGCTGTGCATCCACAGCTAGCACAGGGACTTGGGAATGTCTCAGCCACAGCGAGTCAGCACAGCTCACTCAGTGCCACCGAGAACCATTTACTTCCCAGGAGCCATCAAGGTCACAGCCAGCTTGGAACTGCTCTGTTCTCAGCAGAAAATCAAATGCCTCAAGTACAACGACAACGTGGGCTTGTATCTTCCACAAGAAAGATGTTCTAGGGAACACTGTTGTTACTGGCTCTTCTAAAGGCAGCCCAGCAGTTCAGGAGTGGGAAAATAAACAGAAATAGCATTTGTTTTACTCACAAGGATAGGAGTAATGCTTGCTCTAGTTAACATTTGTTTTACAAGTCTGTATCTGTCATAAAGTGGCTTCACAATATGTCTTTCTTCTCTAGTAACCTAAAGGCAGAGAAACCACAGAATTAATTATACCAGTCACTAAATTACAGACAAGCAAACACAAAGCAGTGTGCTTCTCCTGCCAGGCCACATCCATTCCAAACAGGAATACAAAACTACCTCAAACTGGGTGTATGGAATGGGGTTTAAGCAAATAAATGGGAAAAAAGGGGGTGCTTTTTCATTCTCTCTTTTCTTGCTTGTATTTTTCAGGAAAATGGTTGAAACGCTTCCTAAAATTCAGGGGAGCTTCAGAAGAAGCAAACCCTGTTTTGAAATACCCATGGAAAAGAGGCAAAAAAGGGAGCAAGAACTGAGGGGAAAAAAATGTGTGCCTGGCAATGATGATGGTTCTACAGAAATGACAAGGGAATAAAGAAAAAGATGAAACTGTAGAGAGGGGGGGTGGGAACTGCCTTTTCATTTCTGTTTTTGTGAAATCCAGAAAAACAATTCCGGCCTTTTCCCAGGAAATTCAATAATCCTGTTTATTTTGAACACGTCTCTTTGCCTCACAGACATACAAGGCATCAAATAACACCAACCACTTTGCAAACTCCAATAACCTGCTGGTTTGTGAAGAAGGGGCCTGTTAATACATACTTTTTTCCTTTTTTTGTTTTTAGAAGTCAGTGCAGTAAGTTCCTCAGATGCCAACATGGAGGCCAATAGATACCTTTGTGTTTTGGAGAAGGAAAAAGAAGAACCCCCACACCAGCATTAAATTGTGGTCTTTTAACCACTGCCCCAGAGTTCCTGTTGTCTACACACACAATAAGAGAGGTGGAAGTAAAACCAAGTTATTACCGGCCGTCCATGTTGGCTTTCGTAATACAAGAGGCTTTTCTGGAGAGATGTTTTCTCTTCTACCAAATGGTCCTTTGTCATTTTCTATCAAGAATAATTAACATGGAATCAAACACAAGTCACTTGAACTGCCTTTTTTTTTACATTATCAGCTACACAGATGCCTTAGCTCAACTTAGCTTAGTTAATACTGTACATCCCACCTTCATCCACCTAAATACTCTCAGCACATACTTGGGAATATTTTGACAAAGAGTGACAAGGAAAATGTGGTTTATCTTGATAATTTCCCCACAGAGCCTGAGATAGGATGGCCTGGCCAAGGGCTGTTAGAGAGAGGCATCATTTTGCTGATAAAATGGTATCTGACAGTGCTCTATTTCCCTCTCTTATTCTCTTGGAAACAGCCTATCCACAACCACAACCTTCTGCTTACTTTTATATCTTCTGGCAAACATCTCTCCACTCGTTTTTCCTTCAACCTTTTCAAGATGAGTTCCAGCGTGGCCTCCTTGGTGGGTTTCTTCTCCTTCTGCACAACCCTCATCTCATCCTCATTTTCTTCATCCTCTTGGTCAAGAGAGGAACCAAAGCTTTTTGGAAGGGTGTTACTTCGTGGACGTGGTTGAGGGATGAATTCTCCTTCTGTGCTCCTCTGCTTTGCATCTGGAAACGACAAAAAAAAAATTGCTCAATGCAAAGGTTTAAAAAGAAATAAAACACTCTTGGTTCGTTTAACTGCAAACACAGGAACACAGCAATTTGGAAAGGTAAAGTTTCTCTCTTAGTGAACCAAAGCCATGAGAATAATTTGATTTTTGGATAGTTCAGAAGGTAGAAATGAAACGGTTTTTTAGTGTTCTGTGGAATTTTACTGAATGACTTCGCTGTTTCAGTCATATAGATTATCTGTGTTTGTAAAAAAAACAGAAACTGCAGCATCTCTTACCTTTTATTTGCTTTCTCAATTTGGTAAGTTCAGTCATCCACTTCAAAACTTTTGGATTGGCTGCAATATCACTATAGGAGGGCTGAAAAAATACAAATAAACTACATTTTAAAACAAATTCACTCAGTCTTGTTTATAAACACTTCTCTCAAGATTTGCTAATATTTGTGACAGTGAATGTGACCAGTTATGTGGATGCCACTCACTATCAGGTCAGATCTCAGTGTCATCATAAGGGAAAACTCTTGTGAAAAGAATACTGAAGCAGTATCAGAAGTTGAACCAGAGAGTGGTAAAACACTTCTGCTTTTCCACATGTGGAATCTTCTTAATTTCAGTGCATAAATGTCCCTCTGCCTTCCTCTGGCTCTGCAATAATCACTTCGCCCTGCCGTGCAGTCCTTCACCCCCAGTGAAAGCAGAGCTGGGAACCTACCTTGCTGTTTTTCTCTTTTTCAAACTGTTCCTCAAATTGCTTGATTTTTTTCTGTAATTTCTTGACAAGCTGATAAGGTGTCTTGTCTTCCCTTTTGTCATCCTTGGAGCTAAAGGATGCTCTCCGTGTTCTGTAAGAAAAATATTTTTAAAATGTCAGTTAAATAATACAGTGAGTGCAAACAACTTGTATATTTAAGTAACAGGTGACTAATTTCATTTTTTCCCTCTAGTTCATAATCCATTCTTTTCAAGTTTTCAGAGCCATTTACTCAAAATTCTTTGAGCTGCTGCCTTCAAGAAGTGATGTGTTATTTTTGCCTCTCTAATTTCAGTAACAACCGTAACAGAAAAACAGCTTTTGAAATTCAAGTGTAATAAACTAATGTATCATTAATTGCCACTTTTCTGGTGGCTGGGCTGTTTACCTAAGTGAGAGATACTCGGTAGTTCTTTAAGACTTCCTGGGCACAGAATAAAGCCCAGGATAGAAACTACCACTGAACAACTCTTGGTAATCAAACAGCTTCACTTCATTGTCTCAGGTAAGCTATTACTTACCAAAAAACCATCCACATCCTCTGTTGGTTTTACTGATAACTTTCTTAAATCTTACTAATAGATCTGTAGACCGTGTGGTTCTGGTTTTATATCATATTTTTCACAGCCTTTTTACTTCAAGACTGAGATGAGAATTTTCCAGCACGCTTATTACACAAGGTGCCTGAAAGATGCCTCAACACAGCCAGCGTCATCTAGTTCAAGATATTAGCAATACTAATCTAATAATCTACTAGCGTAGATCCTTATTAGCTTCAGAATGAGGAGAACAGCTGTTGCATCAGCACTTTCCTGCAGGTCAGTCTCTGCACAGTTTGGGAGGGTCACACTCCCCAGTGCCACACAAATAACCTGCAGCTTGTTCAGTGACAACTCTGCTTTCATAAACTAAAGGGTAAAAACACCCAGAGCTTACATAAAATCAGAGACCAGCAAAGCCTGGTAAACAAAGGCTATAAATACCACCTTCAGCCCAGGAAGTGCCACTGCAGATAGTTGTCAGAAGTCCTGCCCAAATGGCAGGGAAAAGCCTGCAAACCTGGCCTATTTTTATACCCTTTCCCTCAGCATCTGTCAGTGGCCACTTGGAGAGATTTGATCCCACCCCAGCTGAACCTCTGGTCTGACTCACCCTGGCAGTTCCTGGGCAGGCACAACAGTCAAGTGGCCACAAAATGCTGAGCTTGACCTTGGCCTACAATTAATTCACATCACAAAAAACCCACAAGGTTCTTAAACTCCTGTGGGTTTTTTTTGTTTTTGTTTTATCCTGGTGGTCACATCTCCCGCCCCCAAAACCCACTGGGCTGCATGAAAATACCCACCTAACAAAAGAAAGTGCTTTGGATGAAGAATCTAAAGTTTCTGGATCGTGTAAGAAACGCTGGCTTTGCCCAAAATCCAAACTGCGATGTGACAAGATGGGGTGAGAGTCCTCTTCCAAGGGATGATTAGTCATCCTTCCAGCCTGGGGGGAGAGCTGAGCTTCTCCAGACTCACTGTCCTCCTGCCAAGATTTGAAAGCAGGAAATGGATCTAGAAGATAAAAAAAAAAAAAAAAGACACAAAATGGTAGTTTTCTGTGAGGAGAATTAGAAAGGAGAGTCAAAAGGAAACAAAAATGAGTACCCAATGCTTAGTCTTGTATGCTATAGAGGATGTGGTGTCAATACACAAAGTGAATAAAAACATTGAAATACATCAGAAAGCTACAAATTTCTGTCATAGAACTGAAAGAAAAAGGTACTGAAATGAAGTATGCACACTAGGATCCCTTTTTCAAAGTGTATCTTGGGAGTATGCATTTCTGAGCAGTTCAACAGTGTAAAAGAGCCTTATTTAGGTATCAGAAATCCAAAATTAGCAGAATGTATTTATTGTCCATTGCAACATTTGGCTGTGGCAATTGGTTTTCACACCATTTGCATGTACTGGGAAAGATGGTCCTCTTGATTTTGAACAATGTAATCCTGACAGTACCTCTCTTTAGGTACAATGCCCATCTGCTTAAGTCTTTTTTAAAAGAGTGCTGTTGGGGTTTTAAGATTGAATCTGTCTTGATACCACTGAGAAAAAGAGATTTCTTAATTTGTGGAAGGTGATTTTTTTTTTTTTTTAGGAAGGAGATTCCAAAACAATCAATCCTTTCAAATCCCTGTGAAAAGTTCATCCCTACCATCCCTTCACAATTCTTTGAGATTGTTTTCTTACTGTCTAACAAAAAGCTGACATTCCAAGCCTGTGAATTTAAAATCCCACCCCCCTCCCTTTCCCTTTCAAAGTGCTTATATTTTTCCAGTTCAAATCAGAAATTTGAAAACTGGGTTCAAAGTGTGCAGAACAACAATAAAAACCCACAAAGTAATCTTTTAAAAAAATTAAAAATAATAATAAAAAAAAATAACCCTTGTACCTGCTTTCCATCGTTTATTTATTTACTAAGTATGATTGGGATTTTTTTTTTTTGTCTCATTTTTCAACCACGATCTTGCCTGTTTTGCACAGTACAAGATACAAGAAGGGGACCCTTTTAGAATCAACAAAAAAAAACCCAAAAAAAACAAAACCAAAAAACTGCAGATCAGAATATTCCCAAGATATAAGGGACAGCAGGTGAAGGGTTAGTCAGAAAGCAAACCATAAACTATCAAAAAGGCAGATAACTGAACGTATGGCCAACCATACTTACCCTCCCCTTCTCTCTGCAGATGCATTGTTTTGAAATCAATGAGGGGGAAAGTGATAGGGCATGGCGCTAATAAATGAAAAAGAATGGCAAAAAATACTAAAGTGAACACACAGCACAGTCAGAACAAACTATTACATCACATGTAAAGCAGGAAGATACAGTATCAGGGGGAAAAAAAAAACAAAACAAACAAATATTCCAGCTTTCGGGCCAGGCCCTGAGCACTCTCAGCTTCCAAGCAATTCCAGTGGCAGGTGAGGGGGCTCAGTCCTTGGCCAGTTGGAATTTTTTAATGGAAAGGTTTATAAGGAATTGATACAGGAATAGTGAAGTTTTTTGTAGTTTAATAAGAGTTTCATGCATCCTCACGTGAATAAAAGACAAGTTTTTGCTTAGAGTTTGTAAATAATAGAGATGGTGGTGATTTCCAAAAAGCAGGGCAAATGCAGGAAAAAAATACTTAGAAATATAAATTAATCACTCTGCATTTTTGCCCTAAACCAGCAAGCATTTGATGTTTGTTTTCACGCTCAGTTTCCTATTAGATGGGCTTTAATAACCCAAATCTTGTCACAAAATTTGGACTACTACAGATTTCTCAACAAAGTCAGTCTGCTACAGTGGAATGCCACAAGGACTTGCAGTGCCTTGGAAGATTGAGATCCTAAAAACCACCCTTAAAAGAACTGAAGAACAGCCAAAGTTAAAATACCTCACAGTGAAGCAACACCTTGCAAAAGATCATGATTTAGTACCAGGAAACTTATAATATAAATTTATATAATATGCTACTTTATTCTCAAAGGAAGGGTCATAAAGTAAAACCAAAGTCATTTTTCATGAGCAGATTTAAGGAAATAATGAAAATGGAAGCCACAAACCTTCTGAGAATATGTATTCAATCAGATTAGCACAAATAGAGGATGCAACAAAATGTAATGTGTAGGTAAGCAAATAAAACACCAAAGAACATAAGCAGGGTTCTTATAATAACTTTAGACAGTTATTAACTTGGGCAAGAAGAATGAAAATCTGGACTCAGTGTTTTTGGATGCCACAAATCGACCTCTCTGCGCATGACATACCCTGAATGTGCAGTTTGCTGGGGCTCAAAACCAGCAAATATTGTACAAATCTAATGAAGCTGCAAACCTCATCGTTTGTAAAGTGGTTATAAAGGCACCATCGACTCAGGAAGGCAATTAATTTGGAAAACAGTCAACCCCAGTGACAAATTATCAATAAAGTTACCATCACTTGAGCTTCAGGATGAAGTTGTTTGTGTTGACACACAGCTCTGAGCTGCACAGTCACAGGACACACCCCCAGCTTTGTAAATTATAGTATTTCCAACACTGCAACCAGAAGTTCAGGGCATTCTTTGTTAGGAGCGATGATAACTCCCAACATCAACAGCAGGCAGAGGAAATGGGATGTGAGGAACACACAGAAAGAAGTATTTTGAAAAGAAGATATGGATGGGAGTGTTCTGCTCTGGTTACAAAGGGGTTATGGTATATTTAAGTGAAGCAACAGCCCGACCAGATAGTACCAGATATTTGAGCAACAAAATTCAGTAGAGTCACAAGCTCAGGGGGTTGCCAAGCCTGGAAGGCCATGAAAAATAAGGGCAAAAACATAAGGAATCCTGCCTGAGAGAAAATTGTGTTTGAAATATTTGGTTTTTCCTGAAATCCAAATAATGGAGGGAGAAGAGGCACAGAAAGGATGTCCACCTGCAACTTTAGCCATGATATGAAAATTTAGAGCTGTTTCAAGTTGTCCAATGACATGAAAACCAACAACTGACATTTCAGAATAATTGATATACAAATTGGCAGTTCAGTGATTTTAGGTCAAATTCAGCTAGGATTAGAACTTCAGTAGTTTGCATTAAAAAAAGGAGACAAAACACTGTGAACTTTAACTATATAACATAATTAAAGTGTTTTTAATGAGAGACTCAGGGTCATGGAACCATTCGACACTTTAAAAACAGTAAAAAGCAAAACCAAACCCAAACCACCTAGAATGAAAATTGGGCTTTTTTTTTTGCTCTCTTTCTTTAGTTGTTCCTTTGAACTATTTTTTCTTTAGACTTTTTCAAGGTCCTTAAGTTGCAGATAGCTGTGAACTGAGACGGTACCTGTGTCAGGCTCGGCCGATCGTTCCACGTGGAGAGGAACGTGTTGTTGAGACCGAACAAAAGGAAGTGTAAATTGTTTGTCTGCTGCCTCTACTTTGTAAAATGCTCCCTTTATCATTCCTAGTTGAGTGTACTGTGAGCTAAAGGGTGAAAATTACCTTCCCATTTGTCACCATCGGACACGTTCTTGAGATCCAGCCGTGGCACTTGGACACCCGGAGCTTCCTCGGAGCCATCGACGCTGCCGTCCCCCGGCACCTCGGCATCAGTGTTTGCATTCAGGTCACAAGGTTTGCTACTTGAATCCTGCAGTTAAGTAACAGAACAGAACAACTTTGTTACTACTTAACTACTGGATATCCTCCCTTATTCGGTTCTGGCACTTCTGGAAATTTTCAGGGGGGAAAAAAAAAGCATCTTTTCAAACTCCGGCAATTATAAGAACACACCTCCCAGCAGGAGGTAATTATTTACATTGCAAAACATTCCTGACATGAGAAGTGTAGGTTTGCTTTGCTGTCCCAAATTTCTATGCAGTGAGGTGATGAGATCTCTAGCAGAGGTTTCACAAGCCCTGGAGCAGGGCAGCCAAGAGGAGATGTCAAAAGCTCAATTTACTGGTTTTCTTCACATTTGTATTTCAGAGAAGTTTATAATACACTGTGTATTGTATATAAATGAAATCATCATCTTACCAGAGTTATCTCTGAAGATATTCTATCATTGCCATCGAGCAATATACTATTTTCCCTAAAAAGAAGACACAGAGTTATTTTAAATACAAGTTCTTCATGGACAATAAACACCATACACTCCCCTTAAATTTTATTCTCACAAACCCCCAGGCCATTTTAGCAGATAGAAAATGAATTTATTTAAAGTAATAATGGAAATTCTGGGGAACAGAAGTTACATTTTTTTTTCCCCTCCCTCTGTGATCTTACAGGGAATATCAAGTTGAAGTATGGAAATAACTGGGCTTGAACCAAGATGGAAATAAAAACAGCTCAGAACTTTCTTCTCAAACTGAGGGTATATATTTTAAAACTCAATTCAACTCAAACTGAAATTTCAATCAGTGCTGAACTCAAAATTACAAATTAACAAAGCTTTCTGGCTACCCACTGTTAACAGCGTTAATTCTTCAATCATTAAGAGCAATAAAATGTGCCACAAAATTTAAAAGAAAATAACTTTTTCTTCTGCTGCTTCTCTTGCCCAGAACATAGGATTGTTCAAAAAAAAAAAAAAAAAAAAAAAGCCATATCATACAGGTTTATAGTTCTTTTCTTTTTCAAGCACATAAAGTTCCATGCCTTTAATATCATGATCATAAAAAGGTAACTCAATCTTATCCTGTTTCCTTTCATATGTGAAAAGCGGTATGTTTAGTTCACCTCTCTCACATTATGCTGTGACAAGTGACAGTTGATACTCTCTACATTTCAAAACTGAAGTTGCAAATCCTGCCATGTCAGTGGATACAGAAAAACACAAACCTTTCACTATTATTTTCTCCATCAACATCTGCATCTTCATCACACGGTTGCAATAATACATCTGCAGCCTGTTGGCAAAAAACATGTTTAGAAGATTTAGGAATGGCATTCCCAGCTGAAAACATTTCCATTATCATCTCTGACCACAAGGCACCCTCAAGAACTAAAAACTTCCAAAGTGTGGTGGGCTGGAAATCCTACTTTTTAACATGTGGTAATTTTACAGCTAAAGTATGACCAGCGCTCGGGTGTTTTAATCAGCAGAACTCAGACAATGGTTTCCCATCTTCAGATAAACCATTTTTTATTATTTCTCCAATAAAAGTTCTACTTCAGATTGTCAACCATGGGGTGAAGTTTGGGGGGACTAAAATCACGGCAGTTGGTACATCCTAGTCCTGAAAACAGCTGGGTTGGATGTTGCCTTGTGCATAAATGAAATGCACCAACTCTGACAGACTTTCCAAAAGGAGTCACTAATCCGTGTTACTAAATAAAGCAGCAGCAGAATTGGAAGGGGATGAAGAAATGCTGGCAGTTCTATGACACCATCTCACAGAACAAGTTCAGATGAATCCATGGCACCATTTTGTCCACTGAAAGCTGCCATGGGATGACTGACTGCTCTAAGTATTTCTGTCAAAGCCCAGGACTTGATGTCTTCAAAAGGAGTTGTGTTTGGGGGGAATGTAAGAAATTTGAAATATAAAATAAGGCATTTGGGTTCAGACTTTATGAAGTGCTTCTATCATGCTCTCCCAAGCTTCACGTTCCCCATTATACTCAAATTTTGTTCATTTTTGTGCTATGGGATAACAATCCAGTCATTTTTCAAAACAAGATTTGGAACTAATGCATCAGGAAAGTACCAGGACAGCAAATACATCCTGGGAAATTCTTAAACAATATGCCAGTTTGTGGGAACAACTGAAAAATTTGGGCTTGACAGGTGATTCAAGAGAATCATTTACGATCCCTGAAAGCAAACAAAGGCCAGGAGAAGAGCACATCACAAGAGTGAAAAGCACTCCAGCAACAGGTTTTTTGGTATAAAAACAACTCACAGTTTCACTACTACAGCACCCATTAAATTCTTCTAGTTCATTTAAGTCTACTAACAATAGGTTGGTTTATCCAGTTATCTTTCAGGAAACCCTCAGGAAGATTTATGGACTCCCAGGTAGGAAGCTGAAAACCATTGTAGAAAGTTCTCTTCTCTCATGTGTAAACCAAACCTCTCTACCCACAGAATTTATTATTTGGATTTGTAACAACGAAAGTGTTACCAAATAAATAAGGAACTACAGATAGGAATTTTTTTTTTTTCCATTAGAAAGGCTTATTTCACAGCTGCATGGCGGAGTGGTAAAAAAAATTCTATTTTCTTGCATGTTACTGTTATCCTTGATTTCATTTTTGTCAGCACACATTTTACAGCATTGCTTGATCACACAAAGATACCCAGAATGAGACTGATCTCTGCTCACTGATAAAAAATGCTGTTGCAGTTCAGGCCATCACCAGAAATCCAGGCCATACGTACTCCAAACCTTCCCATTGGATTTTATGTGAAGATCTAACAATCTGCAGCTCAAAGCAAAGCTGAGGCAAGTTTGTTGGATAGGGCAAACAATTCTTTCAACATTTCCAGCTGCTCCAATATTGGGCTTCCATTCAGAGTGTACACAGAGTGTACTCCTTTCACTGACATGAAATCATTCAATTCAAGAATAATATCTGAAAGCAAAGCCAAAATTAAGTCTGCGGCACCTAATTATCTTGTGGTTTGTTGTTTACAGTTTCAGCTGCTTTAAGAACTTCAACAGCCACTTCAAGTATCATTAACATTGTACTTTCTGAGCAAAACAATTTTTAAAAAATACAACCAAGTATTATATTTTTACAAGCACGTTAGCACTACATGTGCTCGTGCAGCACACTAGACAAGACTTTTCTGCTTTGGAATATAAATGGCCAACCCACAGTTTTCAAAATGACAATGTTAAGTACTGAAGCTGTTTAAGAGGACACCAGTCCAGGTGTTCTCTTTCCCTGAACACCTCAAGTGTTAAGAATTTTAGGAGTGCACAACAGTCTGGAGGGCCCCAAGGCATCAGCACAGCAGGAGCAAACAGTCAAGCAAAGAGGCCCAAGGAGAAGCAACCCTTTTCAACTAGAGAAGAGATGAAGATGTGCTGAAAAGAACAGGCCAGCCCTGCCCACCACAGAATAAACCAGAGCCAGAGAGAAAAGGCTGGAATGAGCTATTTACAAACCCACACCTTCCTAACACAAGCACAGTCAAGAGGCTGCAGTCTCAAGGTGAGTCCAACCCCTTCCTGATCCAGTACAAGAGGATTAAGTGTGGGCTGTGCTGCAATCACTGCTCTACATCTCCTGCTCCCCAGGGAGCCTCTCCTAACACAGATGCTGTTCCAACCAGTGCTGTTTACACTGACTTACCTCAGCAGAAGGAAGGGCTGGTACCTGTGAAAGACCCAGAGAGAAACTATCAGTCAGGACGCAAACAATTCACACCAAAACACACAAAGCTTGTGGCACAGCAGAGGAGATCACTGACTGCACAGGTAGTGCTACACAGAAAACCTGCTGATCTCTAAATTAGGAAGATCTGGATCTCCAAAGCACAAAAAAAGTCACAGCAACTTATGGTTTGATATACAGGAGACTCTTCCTCTCACCTGAATGCTTTCTTCCTCCCCAGTTCCAGTTTCATGTTTCATAGCTTCACTGTCTAAATCAGTGCAAACCAACACTTCAGAGCAGTCTCCTGTGTTTTCACTGCTGCCAGTGTCATTACCTTCAATAACATCATTCCTAAAGATAAGAACAGACAGACTTTAGGAACCTGTAATTCCACCCTTGAAATGAAAAGAAAAGAAAAAACCTAACTCCACTTTTTTTTTTTTTTTTGCCCCTAAACAATATCAAACATCAGGGTATTGTGGTTTTCATTTCTGAACAATTATTCTGACCAAAGTTACTGGTAGTATCTACAATTCATCATTCATCACAAGCCTTTGCCTTCTTTCTTCTCACTCCCAAAACTACTTCAAAAAAGCTTCTTCTCTCATCAGATGTGAAGATACTGAACAGGATGGACTGGAAATGAACATTTTAACTATTTTTCCTTAACTCCAGCCATCAGCTTAAGCCAGTTTTAAAAACTTTTTCCTGGCTTGCTGCTTTCTGTAGCTCTTCATAGAGCTGGGTATTTGCCTTGAGCACAGTTTGCTGCTTTAGGGAACCCAGACAAGCACTGTGAAGGAAGGTATCAGCTATCCTGTCTTACAGTTAATCCACGGTGGAAGATGATCAGAAGCATTGGGAACAGTCCCTGTGCCAGAGGAGGGTATTGGTTTCAAATCAGCAGCGGTGGCACTTGGAGCCTCCGTCTCTGAAATCAGCCCAACCTTTAAAGCACTTACGCTGGGACTGAAGGAATTCAGCTGCTCCAGGACTTCCAGGCAATCACCCACTTGTAAATGACTTCAAAGGCATTAAATCTCCAGCGCTAAAACTCAGGTTGAATTGATCCTTGCCAGTAATGATTATTACTTTTATGATTGACCATTGACTTGATTCTGGCCTCTTGTCACAAATGGGACTTTAAAACCAGCAAAGACTGAACAACTTTGAGTCTCTGAACACTGAACGTGTTCCAGGCTCTGAGCAACCAAGGAATTGAGGTCCTGGAGTCTTAACAACACCTTTTTGGAGCCTGGGTATTAATCACGACTACTTATTTTTAATAAAGCACCAAACTGTCCCAGCTTCTCAATGCTGCCATGGCAATCACTACACTCAGAACGTGGCATGAGTTACAACAAAAATAAAAGCTGATCAAAAGAGGCTGAAATACCCTGCAAATAGACCCACAGTACTCATTCTCTCCATTTTTGGCTGTTTCATTGACACTGGCAGCCAGAGCAGTAAAATATCTATGTTGACATGAAAAGACAGGGTAAAGAAACTAAAACAGCAACTCCAGGATCTTCATTATGGTAAAATTCTGTCATAAGTCACATCAGTGAGGTAAGAAGGAAAGCACTTGGGTGATTTTAAGTTCTTGTGCCACTTTAAATTTAAAGTACTTGCTTCAGGAGCTGTTGATTACTGGCAACAGATGGAAGTTGATTTGTTTTAAAATCAAAAGTCAACGGCAAAAGTTGTAACTTTTGGGTTGAGGAGGGGGATTTGGGTAGGTGTTTTTTGGAAGAGTTAAGAAATACAATCCTACAGAATTCACTGCAGACAGAACAAAGTCTTACTGGTTGTTAGATCCTTCCTCATCCCCACTGGGATTTTTTTCTTCATTGTTACAGCCCAGTCTGTGTTGCTGGATATGTTTCAGATCGTTATCTAAGCTGCTCTGCAGGTCGAAAAGATGCTGTTCCACAGCTGCTCTGATTGTTCTTTCTAAAATGCTAAAGAGAAGAGAAGAGAGAAAATCCCTATTAAGAACTCTCCTTTTGAATCGATCAACTGTGCAGAAAGGCAGAGATAAACTTCACACCACAGAAATCTTCGATGACAAGCACTCCAAGGCAAAAAAGAGACTAACTCTTCCAAAAAGGCAGTGGAAATTACTACACTGGGGTTTTATTTCATAAGATTTACATAAAGTATTGTGAAGTCTATCAACAGTGTTTTAAGAGGAATCAACACATTACAATGACTATTTTTTAATAAGTATGCAAAAAACCCTTATAAAAGCCTAATATAATAATGTGGCAGTAAAATCCTGTGGCAGGCACCTGATGAAGGACACAGAATGCATCAAAAAATTCAAAAGGAAAAGAAGAGAATTCCTTAAAAACAGACTGTTCTGTTGAGAGCTCCTTAGCCAGCTCAGCCCAAATATACAGAATCCCATAGAAAATCTGCCCTGTAAAAATCTTCAACTATTTAATCTCATTTTAACTCTGAAGCTGTGCTTTTATTTTCCCTCCACATTTGCACACAAAAACATCAAAACTACTGTATTTTTTGAAAGAACGTAGGGATGTAGTAACAGCATCATTCAGGCATTTTATATTCTCATTATACTTACTCTGCAGAGGCGGGCAAGATACTTATGGGAGAGATATGAGCACTGCAATAAAGAAGAAATAAGTTAATGTAACACAAAAACTTATCACACTAAATAAAAGTCTTGGAAGGTAACAGAAAGCAACTTAGAAAACACTTAAAGATTGCATGTGACGCAGCTAATAAAAGTAGAATAAACATGTAAAGAGCACCCTGATTTGCAGTCCCTTTATTATTTAAATAAAGAAATCTGAAGGAGCACCATCACAAGACGAAGTTGCAGAAGCAGCAATGCAGATTTCTGTCTCTCAAGAGCCAACACTTGGTGTAGTGGGAAGCTCCAAGCTCTCAGATGTGTGGTCTTTCCCATGGGAAACATTAATCACTTTATAATCAAACATTTTCCTGCCACCTTGCTTAAGAATGCAGATTTTAACTTGGTTGCCTAAAGCAAATTCCATATTACTCTGCTTTCCTCCACAGGTCCTTCCCTGCCTGTCAGGCTGTTGCATAATCTGATTCTGCAACACTCTCTGAGCACAGTTACTACCTTTCAGGGGCAGGTCCCACCTTCCAGAGGTTTTGGGACAGGAGTCAGACATCTGGAAAACATCAGGAAATGTCCCAGAATCCTCAAGTCCTCAGGGGGGTGGGAAGAGTGGGAATCAGCCCGGTTAATGCCACTAAGGTAATTTATATCTATGTGATCCCTCTAGAACTTTCCATGACCAGGATCAAAGTTCTCTCATTAGAAACAGAATACTCAAAACTTTGGTCAAAGTGACAGTAAATATGATAAGAATAAAATAAAAGACGAAAAATCTACTATAAAAAGCAGTGAGTTGCAAAATGCATACCTCACTCAGAAAGAAGTAAATACTAATTGCAGTTTAACTCAGAGGTGGGGAGCTAAACAAGTGTTTTTTTAAAAAACTTACAGGCAACTAAAAGCTGAAAAATTAGATTTTAGTCTATTCTTTACAATCCTGTTGCCAGACAGAGTTGATTTTAAATATTATTTCCATGAATGCATAAGGTAAACCCCGAAATACCAGGCAGTTTGTCACTGCCCTGGAGAACTGAACAGGCACTGCCTCTGCAAGGCACTTCTGATACGAGCCTGAAATGCACCAAAAAATGCAGACAATCTCTCTGTTTACCTAAGAGGAGTTTTAATCCATTCTATGAGTTGTGTGTGTGTTTTTGCCTGGGTGAGAAATGAAAGCTGATCTATTCCAAAGGCAGCACTTAACTATCATTTCAAAATGGGAAATTAAAACACTTGAAAGAGAAGCCAGATCTTGTAGCTACTGATTTTTTTTGGCATTTTTCTTTCCAACAACAACGAAAAATTAGTTATAAGTAAATAAGTTTACTGCTAAATATATTTATATATTTATATATATGTATTTATTTATGGTATTTCTGTGCATGCAAGTTCAGCAGAGTCCTACTACTTGGACAAAGTAAATTTTCTGATGAACACATTTTGTTTTGACAATACTTGAAATTAAAAAAGTGAAGATATACAGTTGAGCTTCACAAACAAGGTAAGAGAGAAGGAGCATGAGCAAGAATCTCAGCAAAAAACCCAGTAATGTTCCAAAACACAAAAAATGTAGTTTTACGTATCCATCTCAATAAGTTCTACTAAAGCTGCATTATAAAAAGTATGTTCACATTCTAAAGGTACTAATACGTAATTGTGTACATTGAAATCCATTTACTACTAAAATAGTCACTCCTAGGACATACTGGGAGAAAAAAAGAGGCAATCAGAGCACAGAGCACTGCCACACTCTAATTGCAAAAGAGAGCAAGAAAAACTCCAGTCAAGGGCACAAGTACAAACACTATTTATAGGTAACTGATGACCTGAAATCCTTTCATTTTACCCCCTGAGACAATGAGGAAGTGTGTCAAGATCAGGGAGAATCAAACTCATCTCCCAAGAACGCACACGATCTCAGACAGGGGTTCACACCAAAATTTTCCATCTCGGTGTGTAACCTTCAGCCCCCGGCACAGGACGGTTCTCTGGTGCTTTTATTCAACACCTGCAGGTGCCTGAGAGGGACTCAGCAAAAGCTGGGCATAAATCAGCACTATTGCAAAGCCTGGAGAATCCTCTTACTACAGAAAGGATATCTTACACCTTCAACTAAATCACTTGAGCAATTAAGCCCTTTCTGCAAGAAGTGTGGCAACGGTGGCTAAAAAGCCAAGTCCACCTCCCGAGCCCACTTGCACAGTTCGGGGGTACTTTGGAAAAGCTCTAATTTACACTGCCAGGCAGAGCCTGAACGCAGCATGACACAGCAAGACACAGCAAGGTAAACATCTTTGTTTCATAATGCCAATCCACTCCTGAGAACCCCTTCTGCACTGTCTCCCTACCCACAAAAGGTCCCGGGAAAAAACACACCTTGAGTAGAAAAATATATTAACTAGAGATAAAAATATGTCCCAGTTATCCTTGGTAATTTCCTGACTGTACACAGATTCTTCTATCTCATTCAAATAATCAGTTCTGACATACTATGAAATAAAACAATCTCCAAAGCACATTTAACCTCCCGCAGCTTCAAAGTTAAAAGCCTTAACTACAAAACCCCATCGAAACGACACCGTCCCTTCCGTAGATTTACCTGTGCAGGAGAACTTTACAGGCCATTCTGATTATCTTGGCTATCCCAAACGAGCACTTGAGGTAAAAATGCTTCATCTGGAAGCCAGCAAAGCGAGCTGTTGGCTGCTGGCTGTGCATGGTGCTCGCTGGGCTCCGGGGGCTGGCACTTCTGGAGTGCTGCACTAAAGCCTGCAGTCTAAATAGAAATCGACTGCAACATGAGGTCACTCCTGACAATAAGCTGCCCAATCAACACTTGAAAGCTTTCCTAACGTCTTGTTTACAGATTTGCCAGGGTGGAAGTAGGAACAAAAGACAGCACTGCACGAAAATAGGAATGTATTTTCCAGTAATTCAGGCAGGTGTTAATATTTGGTCAGCCTTACCAGGCATTTTGGTAGCTGTTAATACTATCACCTCCCTCTAATTAAATCACAAAAGGTTTAACAAAAATATCACTGAAGCAGTGAGGATGTTGCCCCTCTCAGTAACAAAGCAAACTGTTCATACAACTCACATGTCATATTTTCTATTTTTTACACATATAGTTCTGAAAAGCCCCAAAACAGAGGGGTTTTATGTTAAGACTTCTGACTGACAGTACTTGAGATGAACTGCACGAGTACAGCAAATACTGCTTGGCAAGGCACAGTGATGAAAAATTTGGAATAATGACAGAGAAAGGAGTCTGAAGTAGTTATTTCAACAGCCCGTCTTAAAATTCATCTGCAGTGCTGAGTCAGCGATTCTTTTCCCCAAAACCCAAAAAGAGCCGTGGGGGAAAAAGCTCCTGGTGAAGGAGAAGAGTTTCCTTCCCATGCACAGTCCCAACCTGGGTGCAACAAATGCTCCCTGGCCTTGGGGAAAACGGGCTCCAAGATCACTCAACAGGTTTGTTTTAAATGCCATTTGCAAGCAGCCACTAAATCAAACTGCATTAATGATTTACCCACGTTCCCACCAGCTCTCTCTCCACCTCAAAGTCAAATTAACACCAGGCAGTGCAGGGAGGTCACAGCTTTCATAAAGCACAAACAGAAGGAGCAGAGAAAAAAAGGTAGGGAGTAAAATTCTAAGCAAGTTGTAGTCCAAATAACCAGGAGGAGGGCCAGGATGAATCAAGATAACCAATATTTAACATGCAGAACATGCAGCCTCAGCTTTCTTTTCCTTCTCTCCACGGAGAGACCAAAATATACAGATATTCGGTTCCCAAAAATCCAACGGTAAAAATGCAACAAAACTCCAGCTTAGGGAGCTGAAAGAATCATGTTTGAGATCTGCTTCCCCTCCTCTTTTATATATAAACTACCTCAAGACAGAAAGAAATAATCCCAATAAATCTGCATTAACATTCACTTTTTTAATTTTTTTTTTTTTTTACATTAGGAAACTAAGTCCAAAAGAAGGCCATTAAATAGGTACATAAAAGCTTTTAGGTTTGGAGTAAAATTCACAGTATTTATAGTGGTTAAAAGTTTAATAAATACTTTCTCATCCACTTCAATTTTTTTAACATTTCCTGCAGTTGATCTGGTCTTACAGTCAAAATCCTCCTTCTTCTCCAGGATTCCTCCTTATCCTTTCCCACAAATTATGTAAAATGCCAACCATAATTAATGCCTATTCATTTTTAATTAACCTTAAACATCAAGTAAAAATGTTTTTCTCTTCAGGCTATCCAATTTAAACTCTCAAACACGTTGAGTTTGTCACTACTGCTGTGTTTACACATTCCAGAAGCAACCCAATACCTGTGAATAGCTAAACTGCAACTTTTTTTTTTTTTCTTTTAACTCAAACTAAAATTAAAGCAGTTTTATTGCTGGCAAAGATAATTAACTATTAAAGCGTAATTTAAACTACAAAACAGAGTTATGTTTCTCTCATTATTTTATATTTTACAACTTCTTGCCATGACCTAGAAGGAAATGTGCTGCCAGCAGTTGAACAGATTTCAACCCAAAATCTACATTCCTGAAAATACTCAGGCAGTAACTTTGTTGTCATTTTCCCTTCATTTCTGCTGGTTTTAGTCACACTTTTATTCTAAATTCCTCCTCATCCCTCCCCACAAGTTCTTCCATGCAGTGCCCATACCAAACACATGCTGGAGAGGGGAAGAGGTAAAATTCACCATCTGTAAATGTAAACTCCAAGTACAAATAAATCAGACCTAAAAATAAAACCTTGTGTGTTCCAAGCAAGTGCAAATAAGCTCTCAAGAGGAAGTATTTTCTGTTTGTGCATCTCCTTTAGGAGAATTGCTCTTAAAAGCTGATTCCCACTCCAACATCCCTGCCTGTGTCACAGTTTGCAATCCCAAACCTGCCCACAGCTCTCCCCCAGCACGGGACAAGAAACAGTCCCAGGATTTCCCACCCAAAGGGAGTGGTGAGATGGGTTTGCATCCACCATGTGCAGACTCTTTATTGCTGCTACAAAATTTACTGTTTAAATAGCACTTTACAGTTTCCCTAAAATATGCTCTTTTTACCTTTCTCTGCATAAATCACCATATTTAATGCAATCTGAGTCCTCCAGGCATCCCTCTGCTGAATCTGGGAACAGTTATTTTAACCCATATTTTACTATTACAGGAACTGCACCTACTTCTAAAGCTGCACTTTGTAGACACCACCACTTACATCAAAATCCTGACAGAATCAATTCTAACCCAGACTTTGAACCCAAACCCCAAGGCAGGCCTGACTTACCTTGTTGATGCTGTAACACTCCTGGAATCCGAGAGACTCCCTGTCACATCTAAATGCACCACAGCTGGCCTTTCAACAGGTTTCTCTGTGCCATCTTCTGGAAGTTCTTCAGACTGCTCAAGCTTTACATCTTCCTCTTCTTCCAAGAGATCATTGATCTAAAAAAGATTTAATCCAAGTTAATGGGTTGAAAAAATTCCTTGTAAGAGGTCCAGGGAATTAAAAGAGCATGAGAGGTATGAAAGTGATGTATGTGTCAAAACAGAGCACTTCTAATTTAAAAAAAAAAAAAAAAAAAAAAAAAAAAAAAAAAAAAAAAAAAAAAAAAAAAAAAAAAAAAAAAAAAAAAAAAAAAAAAAAAAAAAAAAAAAAAAAAAAAAAAAAAGGCACACTGGGCTTGCTTTTATGTAAAACCATAAATTCCACATCATTAAAAAGCTACTTTTGAAACACTGAACAAAACCTGAAAAGCAAACATCACCTCCAGTGCCATAAATGAACACAAGCAGAATGGACAAACAACAAAACCCTGACCACACTGAAGTCACGAACCACAGACCCTTTCTTCTGCTTTGTATAAAACAGATAATTCTCCTCTATTCCACAGGAAACCTTTTTCATGGATCAGAAGCCTTTTCAAACCCTTCTAGGGAAGGCAATGCAGAGGAATAGGAATCCAAACCTTAAAGCACTAAATGAACACTTCCGTGGAGCCTCTTGTCTATTTTTGTTTCTTTGTTTCCAAACACACATGTTTTCACTGAAGCAGCAATACAAAACCAATTTCAAAAGTAAAACAATATATCCAAGTGGTAACTCTAGACAAGACACCTTCAGTTTTTTAAAAAGCAACTATGTCTAAACTATGAAAAGATAAACAAAGTGATTCTGTTTGACTCCCAAGGCCTCTCTGTGATTATTGATCTCCCAAAGGTACAAACCCAAAAATTAAAGTAGCAGCCTCAAGAAAAGATGTTCTATAGTATCTGCCACATGAGTGCAAAAGAAAAGTACTAAATTAAGAAAAACTAAAACTTTAGAAGATGGAGATTACGAAGAGGCAGAGAGGAAGTACTTGTTTAATTTTTAAAAGGGGTGTAATGTGTTACAGGGCACTACATTCCAGGCAAAACACGTATTTGTCCCTGGTTTTGCTCTGTAACTGCAGGAGGATGTGCCAGTGAAGCAGAGATGAGCCCACCCACACACCGGGGGCAGCTGCCAGTGGGGCTGTGCCCGGCAGGGACAGCGGCCCTTCTGTCCCCCACCCCGAACCACCCCCCCAACACAAGTGCACTATTGACATCTGCTGGAGACACCACGAAATTAAAGGGACACTCCACCAGCCCTCCAGCTGAGGGGAAAAACCAACCAAAAGCACACAGCAAACACACTGCTGCGCTCGGGAAACCCTTTGGCTGAAGCACACGATGAGGCCCGGCCCAGTCAGTGATTCCAGAGCGTGAGAGCACAGCCCAACTCCAGGCACGGAGCAGTCACCTCAGCTCAGGGAGCCCCAGTTTTTGTGACCTTCCCCAGCAACTGCTTGTTATTTATTCTTGCTCCTCTCTACAGAAAATACACCATTTCAAAGCCTTAGAATCAGAAACACCACTCAAAACCTTTGGCTTAGGAAAACACCGCTGAGAACACCACCAAGTGCAGTGCGAAACCCCGCAGGTTTCTGTGAGACACACCTAGAAATAACTGTTGACCAAGACCAACAACAGCTTGGTTCTTTTTTTGGTTTAAAAGCAAATTTCTTCATTTGGTTCAAAGAGCATTCCTAAACAGGTACTGAGAAAGCTCTACTGTTTAGCATGGCAGTGTCTGTGTTGGGCAGGATTTCCCCTCTGGTTTAGTTCCTAGGGGTTTTTCTACACAGCACAGCTACACTTATTACAAAAGCAAAAAATTCATAAGCATTAAGAAAATTTAGAAAATGCCAGGTTTTGTCAGTTTGCAAGAAACTACTAATAAAGGTAGGCTAAAAAAAAACTACAATATATCTTTCATAATCATAAATGTGTACAACAGACAATTAAGTGATAACATGTTGCTGTTCAAAATATCCTTACCTGCTCAGTTATTGAGCTTAAATCATTCGTAGATGAAAAATCTTCCTCTTCATTTTCAAAAAACTCGTAGTAGTTCTCCAGCAGTCCCGCCATTATTCTGCTCACTATTTCTTGTTCTTTCAGATCCTCCACATCTGTGTAAATGCTAAAGATTTAAACACTGGTTTAGTTTCAAAATCTACATCCAACTGTTGCCCCAAAGCACTCCTGTGAATGACTGCCATGACTAAGGGCTACATTTCACACCATTACCCCATACCCGCTCTGCTGCCTTCACACTGCTGGCATTATAAAGCCCTGTATTATTTTATATTTCAAAATGATGAAGTAATAACTCTTTAGTCTGTTAAATTTTCATGAGGAATATTTAAAATTCAAGTGTTTTCCCGTAGAGAGGAAACACCAGGATAAGCTGATACTTTACAGCCTTCCCCCAGAACTGTTTTCTTGCTACAAATAGTAACCATACACACTATCACTAAAATAGTTGAACCTCAGAATAAATAAGTAGTGCAACAATCGAATCAGTGGTTTCTAATGCCACAGCTCTCAAAAAAGTTGCTGTTTAAATCCCATCAAAAACTGTAAAACCATACTGTGGACTTGCTACTGTTGCTCATGGACTAGGAATGACTTTAAACTACAGATACGCCCTCAAATTCACATGGAAACTCGTCATGAACTTTTATAATTAACTTACTGAAAGACATCCGGGCCAAAGACTGCAGCTAAAGAACTTGCTGACCAAATTTCTTCATGATGAGATGCTACATTAGCTAAAAATTTACACAGAAACTTCAACAAACTGTAATTAACAGGTGGAAGCTGCTGCAAGAGGAACCTCAGCTTTCTTCCAAATTCATCTTCATTATTATAATCTGGAAAAGGAATAAAAATATTTTAGCCACAAATTGAGACTGATCAGACTTTTTTGACAATTTCTTACTCCTGAAGTACAACTGATGCGGTCAAACCACAGCCCAAAATGTCAGAATTGACTTGCATTTGTTCAATAATTTCCACCGTGTTCCCTCTGCAAATCCAATCTGCAGTTTGCTGTACTTTCTCCCCAATTAACACTCAAGTTTCTGATTTCATAGGACAAGCTCCTCCATGTTTTTGTTTCACCAGTGTTATGTAAGAATCGCTTTGCAGCAGAGCTCCAGGGACATGGAGCAAACTTCCATCCATGTAAATTCTATCAGACAAGCTACTCTGACACTTTACCTCTATAACATCCCATCCTCACCACTCTACTTGCCTCTCTAATACTTCACTGATAAAGCCAAGCTATCTCAATGCAATCATCCTCACACGTGCTCAGCTACCAGCTTGTTGATTCCATTCCAGATCTGAAAAAAGGTCACCATAAAACCTCTTCCTTCTCACCCCACTTAACTATACCCTTCATCAAAATGTCTCCCCATAAATCTCCTTTGTTGCATCAGCAGCTTTACAGGCAACAGGGTTCAAAGAGTTTACAGCTGTTTGTACCTAACTGAGAAATCCCATCTTATAGGAAATGTCAGGAAAGCAAAACGGGAGAAAAACTGATACGAAGAGGCTGCCCCTTCTTTGTCAGACACTTGAAAACTCTTCTGAGATCAGTTAGAAAGGGAAAAGTATTTTTGAAGGTTATGAAGCACCACTCTGCCTCTCTAGATGAGTGAGATGAAATATCCTGGTCCTTAATATCAAAGCAAAGAGTGAGTAAATTCCTGTTGTGTAAGCACAGGAACACCAAGCAGTAACTGCAGCTGAATACAGGCAACCAGGCACAGGAAAATAGTTGTCCCAACACAGTAACACAATAAAATTAATATTTCATTGTTAGTTTTCAAACAAAACAGAAAATAAAGAAAAAAAAGGACTTTAAAAAATACTTTCACAATGTAGACCTTCAAAAAGAAAGGAAGCAAGAGAGAGGTGACAGTCAGACCACCTTACACATACTCCACGTTCTGTCTAACCAACCTGTCCAGAAATTCAAGTTCTAAACAACAACCAGAGACCTAAAAGGTGAACCTTCTTCCCTCTACCTGAAGTCTTCTGACATTAAAGCAAGGCAACACACTCCTGGGACACGTGACCTTGTGCAATCAGGTCAAATTCACACTTCCATTACCAAAATGACTTGTCTTTGAGGAGCCACCTGCATGCAATGAGCCCCTAAGAGGTATGTTGGCCACACCTTGTTGTATCACTAAGTTGTTTGAAGAACTGACCTAACAACATAAAGGACTGCTAAAGATGGAAAAGTCCAGAACCAACAGAGGGATCCACAATTACTGCCACCTTCTCCACCTGTGTTAAGCAATTCTTCCTAAAAAGCAGCTGATGATGGAATTCTGGAAACTGATTGTCTATCACACAGCCAAAAGCCAATTGGAGGAAAGCAGGATACTTAGGAGAGGAAAATGAAGCAGCCTCACACTGCTGCAGATGATGCTCCAGCTCAGCACTCGGTAAATAGAAACCCAGCACATGAAAACTCTGCTGAACCTACTCCTCCCACAAACCAATTCCCACTCTGAACAAACACGACTCTCACAAGCACTGTGGAGTTCTTATCAGGAATAAACACAACAACAGAAAATAAAGCCAAACAAAAATGAGTGTCTCACAAAGCCAAAAAAGCCCAGCATTTGAAGAAAAGTATGAAGTGACATTGGAAAAGGAGCAACACTCCTGCAGGGAGACAACCAGGAGCGGCCCCTCTGAGGACATGACTGACGCAGTGCTGCAAGACAAATGCTTCTGACAGTCAAGTTATGAACCATCTCCAGCATCACTCAACACAGCAGAGGCCAAAAGACCCAGGAGGGTGGATACAGAGACACAAGCTGGGAATTGGTAAAGAAAATAACTGTGCCAGCATATGGGTGTCAGTTTGAAAGGGCAAGGATTTGTAGTATACGAAAAAACATACTAAGCAACAACAATATGCTGATGACAGGTGGTTTTTTTCCTCCTACAAGTGGATTTTAAGCTGCAAACAATCCACAGTGGGAGAGCAAATATGACATGAATGTAAGACTTGAGATTGCTTTTCTAGTATAGAGAAGTTTGAAGTGCCATGAAAGCACAGGCAGAGTAAGTGACATAAGAGAGAAACAAAGGCATTCCCCAGCACTTTCAAAGCATCAGCGGTGGGAAATTGTCCAAAAATTTCAATCCCAGTAGTTTTGACCAGTGTTCCAGCATTCTCATACAACATGGAACATTCAGAACTAATCAGCAGGATGCATGGCAGCTTCACCGTTTTCCTACACAACAGATGAACTGTGCCTTTGAACCCAGACTGAGCTCCCTAAATAAGACCAATTTATTGGGGCTTATGCTAAGAAAAGGTCTCTTTGAATGCCTCCTGATGCACACATCATTACACAGAGCACCAAAGACATCCTGGTGCCTCTAAAAATCTCAATTCAATACTGGGTTTAACTCTTTAAAACATAAAAAAAAAATCACAAAATAAAAACAGCAAATCAAAAATAGTTCTTACCTTGAGAAAGTTGCATCAAATGTATGTGCAAACTGCCTGGGATAACTGGCTCTGGAAGTTCTTGAAGAAAAAATCTAAGAAGGCTGATAGCTGAGGGTACATCTGCTTCTTTAACCAGGTCCACATCCTCTCCGTTATCGTAGCGCTGCCGGAGCCACTCCACTGTCTCAGCATTCCCATTGACTTGAAAAAGTCCTTCTTGTTCCAGACCCCCTGAGTTGGAAAAAAAAAAATAATAAAAAAAAAAAAGTTGCAGAAATAAAGTTTGAGATCCAATACGGATAAATGTGTCAGAAGAAAATACCTATAACCAGATATGCACGATTCCCACACTGAGTGAGACACTTTCTGGACAACAATTTTGCAAGAAATTCCAGCAGTTCCTTGTCCCAGCACACACATTCTTATGCCCAGCTAACAATAAAATAACAAGGTAAATGTTAGCAGTGCCTAAAGCACAGCATTTCCTAGGAGGTGCCCTGCTGGGCTGACTGCATTGCTCTTGGCTAGAAAACAGCGATAAACATAACAGCACTAAAGAGAGGAACTGTGTATCACCAAAAAAAAAAACCCCAAAACATCCAATTAAACGTAAGTAACTTCAGAAAATCTCAGAAAACCCCCAGTCTAGTCTGTAAGAATAACAGTTTAATGTATTATGTAAAGTACAGCAAGGTAATACATACCATGTTCCTCAATATAGTCCACGACATGGCGGACTATGAATGGAACCTCATTGTCTGGTTGCCCTTCTTGCTGCAGCTCATCAAGTGGAATTCCAAATATTTTGTTAGCAAGAACAGAGTTGCAGTTACTCAAGGAAGGGGAGGAGCTCTTCCTCATATCTTTTTGCAGCCAAAAATCAAAGCTGTCTTTTCTGTCGAATAAGAGGAATTAAAACCAAAAAACCACAGTCAATGTATTCTGTTGAAAGCGTTGATCTGTAACACGGAGTGTTTTAGTTACCCAACACAAATACTCTCTAGTCTGTCTCCATCAGTTCACTGAACTAAGGAACAGCTCTGAAATGACTCCAAACACAGCTATCACTGAGGTGTTCTGTCCATCCCTCAATGGAGGGATTAGAAGAACAGGGAGAGCAGCAAAGGAAATGCAGGAAATTCCGGTTACAGCATTTGCTAATTAAGCTCTAAGGTACTTGGGGAGAGGCAGGTTCCCCAGTGCCTATTTTAACAGTATTTAGTGGTCAGGCTTCCAGAACTCAACGCAAAAGCCTCTCCACAGGAAATGAAACCACTGGATCCTCCCAAAGCCCAAGTTTCAGTTATACGAAATGATTAAGTATTTTCTGATGCACAACTCTACTGCGATCAACTTTAATATATTTGGCATTTTCTGCTCTACATAATAAAGCTTTCAACACCTGCATCAAATTAAAAGTTCTACTGAACAAAAACCCCCCAAAACTAGTTTCTAGATGCTCACTGATACCGGTTCTTCTATCATGCAGAAGCTCAAGCTTTACTTGCAAGTCTTTGCTTGATAAAGGATCTAGACAGATAACAAAGGTATCACCAGAGGCAGTGTAAGTCACTCAGTGAAACTGTTAACCCGTCAAAATCAAAATATTTCTTCTAGCAAAGAAAAAAAAACCTGTCCTTTCAAAACAAATAATAAAAAGAAAACACACTTGTTTAAATGCCAGCAAATCACTTTCGTAGAGGTTGACACAGCAAAGCAAACACGAAGCACATGCTGTTAGTCAAAGCACTGCCACCAAACAAATTCTCTGTTTACTGATGGATAAATTCTAATGGATCAGACATCCTGAAATCTGTGTTTTGGTGTTTTTTTCCAAGAAAATAATTTAAGGAACCTACCTCAGAGTACTTAAACAGCCGAGTTTGAAAAACGCTTCCTGCGCCAGCTGCCCTCACTGACCAAGCATTCTTTTGTCATTTATGGTTGTTTAAGATTATGGCAAAAGATCAGCCTGTAGTTCCTCATTGAAGAATAGCAGAACTCGATCAGTACTTCAGCAGTTAATCTGAAAAGAAGGAAAATATTATTAGACCATCAAGTTTTCAACAGTTTTTAAACTCAGTCACAAGTCTAAACATCGCATTGGAGGAATTCTCCTTGTCAAAACATCAGCTCCTTGTTCTGAACAGAAAAGCATAAAGACCACACTAGCACAGCTCACAAGAGCTCCCAAACCACAAATTCCCTTTTTTCACTTAGGAGTTAACCACACTTGAAATCAAAGTTATCATAGGACATCAAAGTCTTAACAATTATTGATAATTTGCAGACTCATTCAATCCTCTTCTGAAGAATCAAGGAGGGCTAAGTAGGTTGGGCAGAAGTGTTTTAGGGTACCTACCATACTGAAATATTGAATGGCTATAAAATCTTTAGAAGGATCTCAGGCACTGATTTAAGACACCATATTTAAACAGCAAGACCAAACCCAAAGTCCTAACTAAGCAGTTTCAGTGGTGCTGATCATCTTGTCTAGGAAGCTGATTACGTGTCCCAACTGCCAGATCGAAGTCCAAGAGATCATCAGATCTGGATCCAGGAAGCAACTTCCCCCAAGTCAGATTCCATAGAACCACCCCCACTGTTGCCACCTTTAATATATAATCCAGATTATCTGGACATTTTTCGTGTTCTCAGCTCTCAAAATAGCTACAAACCACAGCAACAGAATTATCATTTTCTGTGGTATCAAAAATTTCAGCTGCAGCTTCACGGCACAGTGGAGCTGAAATAAAGTCCCAAATCAAGGGGTCACCTCAGCCCCTTGATCTCACCCAGCATTACCTGTTTATTTTAACTAAACTCAAGCAACTCTTAGTGGGCAAAACTAGCTTGCTTCAACCTGCTCACTGTTTTCTTGCACTGAAGCCCAGAGGAAGAAATATTTCAGACTTAAAAGTGTTAAAGTCTCTGCCTGTTGATGTCAGCAATGCTGACCAATATTCTTTCCTGCTCTGTGTCATCTGCCTCTGTCTATTGTCTTGTATTACACACAGGTTGTAAATCTGTTATGTCTCACACAAGTGAATCCTGGGCTGAGATCAGGATTCCAGGTGAGCTGGCAACAGAAAATGAAGGGTTATATTGCAATCAGCAGGTTTTACTTTTTTTGTTTGCTTGTGGGAGGTTTTTAACCAAGAATTTTCAAATCTGATATTGTGTCCTCTTGGTTACTAAGAGGTTGTGGCAGATTCCAAGAGTGAAGCAGTTGCAATTCATGGCTCTCCTATAATTTCTGAAGGCTTTGTACAGCCACTTTGCTGAATGTTTTGGTATAATAAGAGAAAGCCAACATATGTAAGTTTTCAATCAATCCCAATATATCATTATGAAGATGCACAAGGTCTATTTTTTAAAGTCCTACCTGTCCACAGCAAACCAGAACACCTCATACCTTGGCCAGCTGGGAGAAAACCTCTGATGGATCTGCCACAGTGTTTCAGGCTGCCTTGCTACAACCAGCAAACACACCAAATAAAGAGGCCAATTTAGCAGTAACCACTTCTTTCTAACTGGGCACCAAGTGGACATTCTCGAGGTGCAGCTTTCTCAGCAGAGGGAACTTTGTGCTCGGCTCACTCACCCCTTTCACCAGGTGCTGCACACAAGCAGGCTGCCTGAACATTAATTTCATTCAGGAGACGTGAAAAAAAAAAAAAAATTCTATTTTAACTGGCTTGGCAACGCAACAATGAAGTTGAAAGAGCCTGGTTGTCTCATTGTTAGAGCAAAACCGGATTTACAACCCAAGCTTATACTTTAAACAAAGGTTTATATGGCTTATCATCACCTAGAATTAGTGAAAGGCTCATTTTCACCCTCTCAGATACACACATACTTATAGACACATTCCTGTACATCATTACAGGCAACAATTCATTTACAAATCATTGACGCCTTTTCCCTTTTAACACAGGCTTTGGGATCTTCACCGGCTGCGATACAATGCAGCTGCTATTTACCAAGTATAGAAAAAGCTGGAAACTCTCAGAAACTTCTTCAACTTCCAGCAAGTTTTATTTCCTGCTATTTGCAACATTGTAAAACTGTTAATAATTAAACATTATATCTCCACTTCTTCTACGGATCAAAAGCTTTCCCGCTTGCCCTCCCGTGACTCAGGAAGTGCAGCACTTCCAGGCAGACATGGAAGAAAACCAGGACAAGACATGGAACCTTCAGGATTATTTCTGGAGCCTTTTACAAATACTAAGCATTGCTGTGGATTTTTTTTTCTAAGTTTTTTTTTTTTAAGGTTTTTTTTTTAGTTTTTTTGCCATGATCAAACAAGTCAGAAAACAGGAGCTGGTCCATCCACTCAACTATTCCTATTTTTTGTCCATATTTTCCTGATCCTTTCAAACATGTGCTTCCCCCTCCCAATTTCACAGCCTAAATGCTCCACAAGATTTATCAAGGAAAAAACCACAACATTTTAAAACATCCCTAAGCTACAATCATGTTCTAGAGAATTTAAATACAGAAAACTAAAAGTACATCTTATTATGACCACATATTATACTGCAAGTTCATTCATTTACAAGAGGCTGAAAAAAAACCATGCTATGTCCTTTTGCAACATGCTGAGCCCAGGCATCCTAAATGAAGGTAAAATACAGTTTTCTTCTATATTGAGAATTTTAGTCCTCACACATTATTAAAAAAACTTGGCTTTGTTTGGAGTTTTTTATTAAGGCAAGTTCTTCACAGAGTCTGCTGGGAAAACAGCACCATGAGCTTCATTTTGCCATCATAACAGCATTCACTTATCTTGGCAATTAAAGAAATATTCACACCCACACACGAAATGCCACTAAAGAAAACACAGCGCAGCCGGCTAACCTGTCATATTTGAGGAATACACAAGAAAATTTAGACTTACAATTAGTTCAGCTTTTACATTACTGACTGAACTACAAATAACACAAATTAAAGTCCTCAGGGTTCCACCACCTTTCCTCAAAACAAAGGAACGAAGCAACAAGTACAAATAAACAAAGGAAGGCTGTGAACTGAGACCGAGCCATAGGAACGAAAACATTAATTCTGCCTGCAGAATTTCTGCCCCAAGTCTCAGCCATTCAAGCAATTCTTTCATTTGCTTGTTTTATCTAGCAAGAAATTCATCTTGTCTCTGAAGCCAAACCCAAAGCTAACAGTGACTGCTGCTCTGTTCTGCTTTAATAATTTATTACGTGGCATTAGCAGACATGCCCAGTGATTTTCTTTTTTTTTTTTTTTAGATACGAAAAAAGTGTCCTAGGGTAAGAAAACAGCCTGTCCCTGTTGCTCAGGAAATTCACCTCGAGTTTTTTGGCTTTTTGAGCTTGCAGTGCTGTGACCCTGTGAGCCACCCACGAGCCCTAAAAGGTCACATACACATCCTCCAGCACTGAGAGGATCAATGCTCCTTTGCTGCAGCACAAGGAAGTTTATTTACAAATAAAATTCCCCAAAAGCCATCAAGCGTCACAAAGTTTTAAGTTCCTTACTCTATATTTGATATATGCTATATTATGTTAGTTATACAATTTACAACCAGACAAAATACATGACGTCCTCCTGGATGCAAACTTACTGTTAAAGCAGAATAAAGAATTCTCTTTTTTTTCTGCTAACTTTGAAATGTTCAAAGTTGTACCAGATTTCCCAACTTCCTAAATGATGGGCGAAAACTTCTGCCACAGATTCCAAGTTGGAATGGTAGAAACTCTCCCCACGTGACGCAGAGCCAGCTGAGGGGTGTGAGGCTTCCCCAGGCAACTTTTGTGGTGCTCATCTGAACACCACCACCAAACCCAGGACACAGAAGAGGACAAACAATATTTGCCTCAAGAGCACAGCTGAAAGCAAGCAGAAAGTGTTCTGTTCATATTCAAGCACTCTCCACGGAAAAAGAACAATCACACATAAGTAGTCACTAATAATTTGAATAGTCCAAAACAAAAATTATTTAAAACAAAAGTTGTAAACCCAGCAAGATAAGCTTAAAATAGACTCTTAAAGCAAGATTTCCTCTTTTTGACTGCCAGTGAAATCAGCTATGGAGAGGTATTTCAGGCACAAGTCTGGACTGGCAAATCAGGCAACTGGGCTCAGTTATTACCTTAAATTTAACAAGCTGGTCTTAAAATCCCCATCCCCACAAAGGCAAAACGTTTGAAATTAAGTATAACTGCAGAATTCAAGTTGCAGTGTTGAAGGAAAGCATGCTGGAATAAAAGCCTTCTGAAGCAGAAATGCCTCCCTGCTCCCTTAGTTTCTCATCAGTCACTGACTCTTCACTGCCCCGTTTGCTTTCTGGTTAAATGGGAATCAGAAGGGAACAAGCTCGTTGCAGTTTTGCACACAATCACAAAAGGAGTCAGCAGAAGCACGAACACCAGCTCTTTAATTAATTCACTACTTGCCTGTATGTGCCTTCGCATGTGCAGTCACACACACTAAACCTCAACTCCATCAGCAGAAATCCTCCTTCGTTCGCCACCAGCACTTCTGAGATTGCCTCAAAAACCACCCCACTGACAAAATACTGCTTATACTCACAAAGCAAATGGAAGCACAAAAAATACAACCCAAGATTTAGGAGGATGCAATTATAATGCAATTTTTGTTTCCTGGAAGTGCACTAGCAAGCCTTCTAATTTACAAATTAGAACAATTTAAATTAAGCCTTTATGTCCTTACCATGGAAGAAAGCAACAGAACACTTCATCAAAGCTCCTCTGGAAAATATATTAGTAAAACTAAAGGAATCTGGGATTTTCTTGGTTTTTAAATTTACAAGCCAAGAAACCACCATACTGATTACTATTTATTTTTCAATCCGTATAGTTTAGTCTACATTTTTAGCTGACAACACCTGATCTCTATCTGTAAATAAGCTCACCAAAAACAGATCTTCATGACAGGTAGATGCTATTTATCAGTAAATCCTAAAATACAGGGACTGATTTTAGGTATCCCAAACATTGTAAACCAATTCTACATCCTCAAAGAACAAGCTGAGGGATCACTAAAACGTTAGCTGGCTTTGATATGCAAAAATAATGTTTAATATTCACTTACTAGATAAAATCCAGAGGCTTTTTAGCAGCATTACAGCAGCTCATAATCCTCCTCCAAGTCTATTGTAGCAAGAGGAATGAAATCGAACCACCAGCGACACCAGAAAAAAGTCGATGTTTGCTCAGTGCCTCACACCCACCAGCACACACGGCCAGATTTGTTCTCATCTGCTGCTGCCGATGCACATGTGCAGAATGAGAAAGGAACTTCCTGCTCGCGCAGATCCCATCACGTTCTTAACAACAGTAGTTAATAAATAAAAAGGCTTTTGTATCTTGGGTAACAGCTAATTATCGTCATCCTACTCGCCACCCCCCCCCCCCCCAGTGCAAAGCTCTACTCCAGCAACCACCCAGGGATAATTGTCTGTGCATCAGATAATGCAGAACTTCAGGGCAGGGGCACTGTGAGAGCACAGAAAGGTACCAGGCAGGAGGAAATGATCGGTAAAACCCTGCAACTGGAGAGCTTCGTGTTATAAAACCAAAGCAGTTTAACAACTGACACTGCTGTGAAAACAGACTTGGGAACGCAAGTCGAGCTCCCTCAGAGGCACCGAAAAAGCAAACTATAAATATATAATGCGCCTTGATTCATTATGCAGAAGTTATCGTATTACATACTTTTATCATCGGCTCGTTTTGCCCCCCTGACAAACAGGTAAGCAGAAACACAGGGCTGGAGCTCAGCAGATTACAAAACGATTACACAGCCCATTCCCTACGAAAACACCGCCTGTGTCACAGCCACCAGCACGTGCCACCCCAACACAGGACAGGCTCAGCATCCCCGCTGCAGGAGCAACACATTCCATTCTGTACCAGTGACTCTTGGAATGGCAGGGAAAGAAGGGGAAACCAAAAACAAAAGAAATAAGAGGACTGGTCCTGAGTTCTCTCCCACAACCAATTCCCGTGGCAACCTGGTTATGAGTAAATTTGAAGAGACAAACAGAAATCATAAGGTTAAAAATCACACTGCAGACTAAATTTAAGCAACCTGATTACATTACAAGAGCGCCAAGGCAACAAAAGATTTCATTAAATGTGGAGTTCGGCAAAAAGAGGAGAAAACCTTTCAAACATTAGGAAAAAAAAAAGAGTATAAAGGAAGAAAGAACCACATTCGTAAGATTCCAGCTCTCACCTTTTCAGTTTTGTCCATGTATTATCATCCTACACAGATGAGCACTGATTTTAATCCTGAACACACTGCAGGGAACACTGAACAGAAGAGACACGTGAGGTGCCACTCGGAGACTGGACCCGGACAATCAATGCAGGGCTCCCACCAGAGACTCTGCTCAGATCCAGCAGCTGCCCCACCCAAACGTCCTCACAAATGTCCAGACAGGGAAGAAAATAAAAACCACTTCAACCTCTCAATAGAAAAAAAAAGCCTCTGCAACCACAGCCTTTGTTACAAGCTGTTGGAATACAAATACAATGAACTATCTGTCTTTTAAGGTCTTTTACTTTTTGTTTGGGTTTTTGTTTGGTTGGTTTTTAAATACACAAAATTTCACACGTTCTCCGGTGAAAGACCACAAGAGTAACTGTTTGTTCCTATCACAATAGAACTATTTTCACGGTAATCGCAAAATATCACCTATTTCTTGTAGTGAAGGACTCCACCCATACACTGCAAACCTAACAGGTTTTCAGCACCATAATCACCCTCTAAACTATGTTTTAAAGACTAAAAAAAAAAAAAAAAAGCCCGGTAGAAGATGCAGTAACAAATACATCATGTTTTAGGCTGCAAGAATTCACAGTATTCACCTGAATTGAAAGAACTTTCACAAATCCCAACACCTGGCTACTATGCCAGTACAAAACCAGGAAGACAAATCCGAAAATACCAAAGCCTTGAGACAGCTGGTCTTTCTCAAACAAAAATTTTGCAGGCAAAATCTATAACTTGCAGAAAATAACAGTCAGCAAGAGACTCAAAATTGAATGGCTCAATTTTAGTAACTTTTCACAGAGCAACGTAAAATTCTTCTATTCTCTGCTTGAATCCAATTATGACACGAGACATACAACCCCTCTGCTGGAAAAACTGATAGAGCCATCACTTTACAAAGTGCATGACAAGTAACAAATCTCCCTCTTTCACAGCCCTTCACAGAAGATTTAATAGTCCTTCAATCCTGTATCTCCTTCTCAGATGTTCTGGATAGAGTGTTATTTTTCTGGTCCTTAAATACCAGTCCTCACAGCTGAAATGATCAACAAATATACAACCAGACCTGCAATGCAGGGAAAAAAAAAAAAAGTTAAAAGGGTTTGCCATCTCTAGTTCTTACAGATGCAAACGCTGAACTGCCCCGCAAGGAGTCAATTCACTCCCATCCAAACGGCCGCTGGATTTCTGTGTGATAAAATTAACCTGGTGTTATGCACCGAATTTAAGGACAACTTAAAGGCATTCTCTTACCGACATCACTTCCTCTTCCCTATAGCTGCAGCTTCTTTTGTGGGGGATGGGGAAAAAAAAAAACAAAACCAAAAACAGAACCACCATCCCCCCCCCCCCAAAAAAAAAATATCCAAACTGAAAAAAAACCACCTCAGGATCTGGCAGGTTTTCCTCACTTCCCTAGAAAAGAGCATCGCTGCTGAGCTACAATTCAAAAGCCCGAGCATTTGAATAGGAGAGAAAGAAAACCACCCCAAAAAGCAGGGGCTCAGCACACACTGATGCCTGTTCCAAAGGCATGGGATGTTTCTGCAGCCTCACCTGCCTTTGCAGACGAGCCCTTCTGGACATTGCAAAGCCTCGCTGCTCGCACAGGTCTGGGGCAGGAGCCCCGCAGTGCAAATGGGGAGGCTTTTAACGAGCTGTGAGAAGATCCTGCAGTGTTACAAGTAGCACGAGCCCAGGACTGAGCAGATAACTCTCATCTGCCGAACTCAGACGTTTCGACACACCGCCCCTGTCAAAATTTGCAGGCATTTAGAAGTTAACCTGGAGCTCCTCCGAGTCAGCTCCTTCAAATGCAAGCACGGAACACTCCGCTTGATTGATTTTTCTCACATAATACAGTAACTTTCCAGTCTGATGCTTTCAAAACATTGAGGTATTTGATTCCTTATTGTAACATTGTCAAGGCAAGGAAAGGATCCCTATGGTGCTGCACAATGTACAAAATACAGACAAAGCAGATTAAAAAAAAGATTCTAAATGCCTTCAAATCTATGCAACAAAGAACACATAAAGCAATGTACTAGTAATGAGCACTCACAAGGAAAAGAAAACAAACAAAATAGCTAAATTGCTTATAATATAGGCCAACAAACCAGCTTTTTACTCCTTTTATGCTGGCAAGTTAAACTGCACGGAAGACAGAAAAACTTCAAACCTAAATGCTAATCCAGTTTAACAATTTCTTCCAAAGTCACATACTAACAATTCCAACCCTGAGGACACTCAGGAATACACGCCAGAAAAAAAAATAAACAGTAGTGTAGGTTTTGATATAATCACTTTCTATTCTTTTAAACAGGCAAGAGTCATTAGGTGGCATTTACTTTTTCATTTGTTACCTCTTTTTTCCACCTCGAGCCCGACAGCAGCACAAAATTTTGTGAAAATTTATTAAAATGCAGCCAGACTTGAGAATGAGAGAGCTGAGCACTAACACCTGGTGTTGCGGTGGTGTGAAGGCAGGTTTTCTGTCTTTGGGTTTTGGTGTTTGATTTTTTTTTTTTCCAAACCTGGAGAGGAGCACCCGAACACTGGGACAGCAACTTTCTGACAGCAAGAAACCCTGGGATGTTTCAGTCTCCCTGAGGGGCTTCCATGAACAATGGAACCCCACACCGGCAGCCCCCTCGGATGACACATCCTGGGCACAGCCTGAATTCAGCCCATCACCCCAGCCCTGTGCCTGCCCTCCTTTTTAACTTCTGGAAGCAACTTGGCTGAGGAGCCGCGGGGCCGGAGCCCCCTCGCAGTGGGGGGATGGATGACCCGCGGGAGGAGGGGCCGGGCCGGGCAGGCAGCTCCTGGAGGGACCGGGGGACGCTCCCGGCGCTGACAGCTCGGCCCGGGCGGGCGGCGCTGCCGGTGCCAGAAGGTTCTGCCGGTGCCAGAAGGTTCTGCCGGTGCCAGAAGGTTCCCGACGCGCTGAGGCGACACCGGACCCGCCCGAGCGCGGGCACCCCCCGCCCGCCCGCCCGCCCCGCGCATGCGCCGCGCGCCCCTCACCGTTGCCGGGTGACTCGCCCTCCCCGCCGTCCGCGGCAGCGCCGGCAGCGCCCTCCGCCCCTTCCTACCCCGGGGGCCGCCGCGGGGCCTCTGCCCTGCCCGCTCCGCTCCGCGCCGCTCGCAGCCCTTCCTCGCGCCCGTCCCGGCTCTCCCCCCTTTCTCGGCGGCCGCCGCGGATCCCCCCTAGGCCGCTGTCTCGTCGTCGTGGTCGTGGCGGCCGCGGCGCTGCCGGCCCGGGCTCCGTCCGTGCGCTCAGCGCGGCTCCGAGCCCCGACCGCGACCGGGGGGTCCCCGACGGCAGCGGCGGCCACGGCCGGAAGTGACGCGCTGACTGACAGGTGCAGAGCGCGCACACCCCCCCCCTCAGCTCGCCCCCTCCCCCGGGGTCACGTGCCGCGGGGCGGGGCGGGGATCGCGCCCTGAGGGGAAGGTGGCGGCGCCCGCGGGCGGGACGGGAACGGGCGACTCGAAATCGGTGGTTTTTTTGTCTCGTCCTCGCCCCGCACAGGGTCGATGAGCCTGGAAAACACGTCCCGAGATCACAGAGTCACCCAGGCTTGGAAATGATCTCCTGAGATCATCAACCCGTGACCCAACACCACCTTGTCTGCCGGACCGCGGCACTCAGTGC